ATCAGGCCTATGTTGAAGGCTTTGCTGCTGTTATGTTACTTGTTTTGTGGCCATGTTGGTCCACTTGGCTGCTTTTTCTCTGCCGCTTGACTTGGGCAGGTGGTCTTCTGCGTAGTGTGCGTAAAACACCGTTTATTTAAAAACACAACATGAAACAATTAGGTCCGACTACCCTGCAGCAATAAAATGCTGCTGCTCCGCTTTCCTTGTTTTTCCGAACTGCTTTGCAGCTGGAATCAAACAGTTAGAGGCTTGTCTGATCTTTTTGGGTGGTGAGGTGTCATTGGAAATTGCTCTTGCTCTTATGCAAAATCTGATGCTCTGGCAACCCGCCAGTTAAAGAACAATCAACTTACATGGGATAGTCTATAGTGGAGTGTCCCCAATCCCCCCAAAGAAGATCAAAGAAGTGCTTTGCAGGTGTTATTCAAGTCATCCTGCGTAGGCCACTATGTCTTACCCTCCACCTCCAAGCCCCGGCAGCGTCGTTTTCCAGCTGCCCTGCGATGCATTTCATCCCACCGCCAGGTCTCCGCGCCAAATCTCCGGTGGCCGCGGCGTCTTGGGCCACAGGCAGCTCGAAGCCCATGTCCTCGTGGGCGGCGTCTGGGCGGGTGCTGGCTGTCGCCGTGTGCAGCTGTCATGGCATTCATCATGTGGAGCTGGAAAATCAAGGTGCAGGAGATGGTAGGATTGGAAGTGGGCAAGTGGCGGTAGCTAACTCAAATTGATTCTTCCAGTCTGTAATAGTAAGCTCAAACTTACAATCCGGCAATAGTCTCTGTGGGACAGTGTGGGATCACAATCATACAAAGCAAACAGCCTGCAGGCTGCATGGAACCATCTGAATCTGCCTCAGCTCCCCTACCGTCTTTCCTACCCTCCAAACGCCATGCTCAAACCCGTTTGGGATCCAGTCGTACCGAGCCTCAGGTACGGTGAGGACGGAGACACTGTTATGTAGCTTTGGAGCGTCCGAGTACCTTCTGAGAAGGTACGACTGGATCCCTAAGGAAAGAAACAAGCTCGCTTCGCCATCGACCTGGCGCCATGGCCCTGTTGGATCGTCCGGTACAAGAAACCGGGTGCTGAAGCATGCTGAAGCCACCCATGCTTCAGTGGAACAGCGTCATGGCCCAAACCATCGATGGAAGAGTTACATACTGTACACTTATCGGACTTATCCGTTTTCTATCATAAATGGACCCATCCATTTCGTCGTGACTGTTCGAACACCCACAGAGTCCTCGACTTGACAAAAACAGAAACTGTACAGCCTGCAGGTGGTATTGGATTCCCTTGGATTCCAATCCATCTGACTGGTGCGACGAAAGCAGGGAATGGTGGCTGGATCCAATGGAATCCCTATTGGGGGCGAAACTTCCCTTCTTCCCTACGAAATCGTCGCACCAGTCAGCCATACATGGTCTGGGTGACCATGCGGTTTCAGGGCTCCGGACCAGCAGCCGAGCCAAAACGTCATCGACCTGCCGCATCCATGCGACCCATGCGAAGCGTTGAAACGGGCTCCACCCGAAGCGAGTGAAACGGAGGTCGTTGGAGGTCGCAAAAGGGACTGGAAGCATTACATCCACACCACATGTATGACGCCCCACCCCAACCACACATACCCATACATGCAGAGGACTGGAATACTTATCGTAATACATGTAAGCAACTCGTCCATGGTCTGGGCGTGTTGACCACGCTCCACGGTGAAGGACGCGAAAGGCACGAGCTGCCATGAAAGACCATGCTGGAACCTCCTTTTCAGACCATGAAAGGTGTAGTGAAGTCTCCCTGGACTAGGTGAAGTTCTCCCTACTTCCCGATCAAATCGTCTGACAAGTCCGGGTTTTGACGCTGAAGTTCACACCAAGAACAACATGTGATGAGCCTGTTCAGAGCAGGACAGGAGGTCGTCTTACCCAATTGGAGATTCACCCAAAGGGAAAATAGAAAGGACCCTTAAGCAAAAACAGTGATATTTATACTGGGGTGTATTTCTAATAGTTGAATAGTTGATTTTCAAAAAATATCGATTTCCCTTGAGTTTACCTTATTCCTTCTGCCACCCCCTTCTCAGCAGCTGATGCTTCCATAGGGTGGATCTTCACTTCACATTGGTCCTTGGTACAATGATGTCATTGTAGCTCAAGTACTGACAAGATGACAAGTGAAGGATGTTGATGTCCCTCATTGGGTCTAAACAAGCCAAGTCTATAGCCCTTTGGATGTGTTGTTTCATGTTCTTTCAAATCCGTAGGGTAGGCAACAGTTGCTGGAAAGGATGTTCACCAAATGTTCTACCACCGACATCCGGATAGGACTGTGAGTCACTGAGTCGATACTAATGGAATTGGCATAAATCCAAGCACATGCATGAGTCAACAAAGCCATGTCACTCTCAGGGTAAGATTCTACTGGAACTAGTTCTGACTGCACTTGTGGGTCAGTATCGGGCAAGTCCAGCATCCGTTGGTAGTTGGCTGAGTTAAAGGATGTTAAAGGTGCAGGTTGTGGGAGATTGAATTTACTGACTGTTGAATTAACAGTAATCAAGATTTCATCACCCCTGTAAAGCATCCTCCATCTATGCTTCGGGCCACTTGCCTAACAATCCTGACTGAAGTCCGGTAGTCATCCAGCAGCCTTCTTCCTCATGACAGCGCCTGCAGAAGCAAAGAGGCAGCAAAGCTGAAGCATCAGAAAACCATCACCAGCTGCACTGAATCCTTTTTAATCAGCTTCAATCACAGGATCATATCCGGGGAGCTGGACAAAGTGCTCAGTGGATTCATGTCTTAAATCAAGCCAGGGACTGTTCTAAAAAATATCTGGAGCGTATGGGATAGACTAGGTGTATTTCTAATAAACAGTGTTCTAACAGGGTGCGACGGTCGCACCCTGTTAGAACACTCGCTCGCGTCAGTGAGTGTTCTAAGGGGGGTCTGATTTCGCTGGACCTGAGCAAAGATTGTGTCTTTCGCTGGAAAACTTTGCGACGGACGCAAGATTAAGTCAGCTCCAGCGAATCCAGGGGTGTCCTTAGAACACTCGCTCGCGTCAGTGAGTGTTCTAACAGGGTGCGACGGTCGCACCCTGTTAGAACACTGTTTATTAGAAATACACCTAGTCTATCCCATACTCTCCAGATATTTTTTAGAACAGTCCCTGGCTTGATAATTGATTTAAGACATGAATCCACTGAGCACTTTGTCCAGCTCCCGGATATGATCCTGTGATTAAAGCTGGCTAAAGGGGATTCAGTGCAGCTGGTGATGGTTTCTGATGCTTCAGCTTGGCTGCCTCTTTGCTTCCGCAGGCGCTGCCATGAGGAAGAAGGCTGCTGGATGACTACCGGACTTCAGTCAGGATTGTTAGGCAAGTGGCCCGAAGCATAGATGGAGGATGCTATATGAAGAGGTGATGACATTCTGGTGACTTTTCAATCTTCATTCCACGTTTACATGTTGCATTCAATATTTTTGTTTATTGCCACAGGCTCCCTTTAACTGACCCCACTCCAAAGTGATGCCCGGGTCCCAACTGGTCCCACCAGAACTAGTTCCAGTAGAATCTTACCCTGAGAGTGACATGGCTTTGTTGATTCATGCATGTGCTTGGATTTATGCCAATTCCATTAATATCGACTCAGTGACTCACAGTCCTATCCGCATGTCGGTGGTAGAACATTTGGTGAACATCCTTTCCAGCAACTGTTGCCTACCCTACGGATTTGAAAGAACATGAAACAACACATCCAAAGGGCTATAGACTTGGCTTGTTTAGACCCAATGAGGGACATCAACATCCTTCACTTGTCATCTTGTCAGTACTTGAGCTACAATGACATCATTGTACCAAGGACCAATGTAAAGTGAAGATCCACCCTATGGAAGCATCAGCTGCTGAGAAGGGGGTGGCAGAAGGAACAAGGTAAGCTAAAGGGAAATCGATATTTTTTGAAAATCAACTATTCAACTATTAGAAATACATCCCAGTATATATTATATAGTATATCGTTTGTTTGTTCGTCCAGACATCAATCCTTGTTTTGGTGAAGTACATCAACATGGACGAATACCTACAGTTACCCGACATCCGACAACGATGGACATGGGAAAACACCTCCCACTTGGGATTTTACATGTCCAGGTTTGTTGGATAGAGGCAACAACACGTCACTTCGGATGGCCACAATCTCATTGTTGTTTTCCTTTGAGTGTTGTCTTTTTCTCATCAAATTGACCACTTAGTGAGCCTGCTCATAGCTCGCAATAACTCCCTAACGGATTTTGAAGGGTACGGCACAGGTCAGGATAAAGGACCCATAACTCTAGTCCACTTATGACCCTGTTGGGAAAATGAACGCACCAAAACATACAACCTGCATAATTAAAACACTGTCCTGATGGCCAGAGAATAACTTTTATCAGCATGACGACAAATGCACAGCCATGTTTCCTAATCATTTCGCATTCTGTCATCTTACTTAAACAATATTGAACAAGACCAGTTAATGCTTGCAGCCAAAACAAACACCTTCGATATTTAAAGTTTCTATATACTCTTCCCATGACAAATAGACTCCCGAAGAAAAGAAGTAGGGAAACACACACTGCCTCGGCCTCCATTAGTTTTCCTGGAAAATACATCAAAGGTTAACCATGTATTTCCACGTGTTTTTGTTGAGCGAGGTGTCCCCTTCTTCCCATCTCCCCCAACGTACTATAGCACGTCTCCACGTACAATGGCACTTGTCGGCCATTGCGGCTGCCCACCGACCATCCCACCGTCCAACCGCCTGGGCAGCGCAGGCCGACGCCAGCAGCGCCTGGTTGAGGTCGCGATCCGAGCCTCGGCGGGACGCTGAGGGAAGTTCTGGAACAGCAAACCCCTCCAACAGGGTCTATCACGGTCTATCTAGTCTGACTCTTCATGAGACCCAAGCGGGAGAATTGAGTTTTGGTAGTTTTGTAGGCATCCTGCAGGCCTAGAGGTCCAAAAGAAACAGTAACTATACCCGGACCCTCCTGTCGGGGTGTCTATTTATAGCCCCAAACAGCTGTGATTCTGATTCGGGGTGTCCACGTCTATAGACCCCGACTGTGGGTGCTGGTACCTGTTACCGGATTGAGTCGTGTTTTGGATTGCTTTCGCAGACGTCAATTCCAACCACATGAAGTCCAACTGTCCGAGTGGCTCGGCGGGGCTGGTGGGGGCAGGAACCCCATGTTGGACTTCACCAAGTCCACATGTTTGGAATCGATGCGTACCTGCCATTGGCTTGGTGAAGGGAAAAAACCAAGGGCATCGGTAGCCAGTGACTTGGGACAAATATGGACAAATGATGGAGAACAAGGTCTTCAAAATGTAAGGCTCCCAACATATCCTGGGAAGTTAGACCCCCTGGCACACGCACCCCAATGGAGGCAGGCGAGCCTTTGACACATGTGGTCAGAGCTGTGCAGCAAATGGATCCACAAGCCTGCCTAAGCGGGTTTGGTCTGTGAAGGCCAATCAAGCCCACCCAGGCAACATACATCACCAGTTGCATCAGGGAGGCCAAGCCTGTGGCGAAGTTCCGACTTCGCAGGCAGTTCGGCGCTGAAAAGGAGTGAAACACGACTCGGAAAGCAAGGTCTGCTCCAGCATGTTCAAAAGTCTGAGCAGCTGGCCGCACTGCGGCTTCTACAAAGAAAAGCGCTTCATGCAGCAAGGTGAGGCAACTCCACGAGTGGCGCCAGGCCCGTCTTCTTGGCGTTCTGGATGGCTGCGTCTTTGTCAGGCATGGTTCCGGCAGGCTGCAGCCCTTTCGTCTTAAGGGCAGTGCAGCTTGCCTGCCCATGTGATCATGTCATTGGCCTTGTGCATGTTCCTTCAAGGGCGGACAACCTGGCGTTCTCCATGGCGATGGTTGCCGAATCACTGGCGTTCTCCAGCGCTGAGTCGGCAATGCAATGTTAGCAAGGCACTTGCAAGCTCCATGTTCAGTTTATTTTGAAAGTGTTGCTTGGCCGCCGTTGTGGCGGTGGTGGTGCTGGTGGTGCTTCGTTGCTCAGCGCCGCCGCGCCAGGCAAAGAATTGCCTTCCAGGAGCTTCGTCGGGGCTTCGCCGCTGCAGCAATGCCACCTCTCCAGCTTAAACAGAGTACTGCCAGACTTACTTAAGATATAGATTTTCAAAATTATGGCGAGGGTTGACTCTGGTTGACTAGTTGCCTATATACACGTGCAATCCCAAGGAATCACGGCATGGGGAAAACAAAACAAAAACAAACTCTCTCTCTCTCTATATATTTTTTTTGCTAGACTTCCAAAGTTGAAAGATTATCATTACATATTGATCAATCGCACCTCCACCAATACTTTATGGTCCCTATGAATTTCACCTAGCCTCTGAGAGGGTTTTTGCTGGAGAACGAACGTCCTTATCTGGACCACCTGGTTTTGCTTAGGTAATTTATGTCTTGGGTCCATCCTATTACCAGTAACAGTTTTTCCGCTTTGCAATTTAATGAAGTGGTTGTCACTCCAAGACGCACAGTTGGATTTGTCTATGTACTGCAAGCCTACCAGACCAGGCTTGCAGTGGATGATGGTTTGTAAGGGCCTTGTTCGTTTACTGACTGGTACAGGCTACCCAAGTTATGCCTGTTTTCCCTATGGAACAAACTTAGCCAATCCGCCGACCCCTCATTCTCCTCCACTTCGGTCACTCCGCGGAAATCCGAGTTGCTCTGCTCCAAGAGGGATCTCGCCATGGCCTGACATCGATGCAAAGAACGATATTTGCTGCAACAAAACACTTCCATGTGTCCATGCATGGAAGGAAACAAAAAACTACGTTGACCCCTTGAACACGGGCAAAAGAGAAGCCGTCCCATGTCCAGGTCGTGTCATCCGAATCCTTGTACCCCACGGTCCGGGACCAGGGCCGAAGCACGAAAAGGAAGAGTTTGTGGGGTGTCACCGCTGTCACCGGATGCCACCGGATTGCACGTGTCGACGGGGATCGAGCGTCGTGTGAACTGGGTACTGCCCAGTACGAGCCGAATCGAGGTCAGGGCTCTGGGGGTTCAACCACAGTCAGTAAACAATTAATTTATTACTATTACTATTTTGAATGGGTCATGGCTACCCCCACCCCAACCCCAGCAGCTCTTAGTCTGGGTGGTTGATGTGGAAGGCCCCTGCATTCCTGAGGAGAGCCTTAGAGATCTGTTCTTGCTCGCTTTCTAGTATGTACCTTTTCAATACTGCTTTAACTGCTTGTTCCTAGTAGCGTCCTTGCTACTAGCAGTACTGGCCTCCAACCTAATAGCGATGGCCTCCAACCTATAATAGCGATGGCTTCCGACCTAATAGCGATGGCCTCCGACCGTGCGTAGCTTCGACCACTACGGTCCTGGTGGCCCATTTGGGCTCCGTTCACGGCCCGCCGCTGAAGTCGTTTTTTTCGGTGCGCTGGCTGAGGGGGGTGGGTGGTTCCGGTGTGAGGGGGTCAGTCTAACCACCTTACTTGAGGATTATGGGATGGTTGGAGCCCTACTAGGGAATCTTCCCCCATGCTCAGGGGGATGGAACGGAATCACCCGAGGTGACACCCCAGGGTCCCAGGGTCTCACAGTACGTGATTGCTTGAGCGGAGATGGGATCGGATCTTCGTGGACACAAACATGATCCAAATGCCTCAAAAACTGTGAGAAACTTGTAGCCCCTGCGCTCCTGGCCCACATCCACAGAAGGTGGGGTTGGGGTGGGTGCCAGGAAGGGCCATTCCCCACCGAATCTGAGGATATGGGACAGGAACCCTAGCGTACCATCGTCCAGGTGCTTTGGTGTATTTGGAAGGCTCGCTTTGAGCCGAGAATTGCAGCTGGAGATGTTCGGAATGAGACTGTCCAGCAAACTAGACTAAAGACCCGAGCTGGCAAAGGATAACAAAGGAATGGTTTCAACCGTTTCTTCAGCGCCCGCCGTCTACCCGCCGTGTACCGTTTCGGCGCCTCTTCCAAGGGATCTGCAACTGGTCCGTTGACCTCCCTTTCCTGTCGCTGTCGCCACATGAAGCCATCACAGGCGGTGTTTTTGGGGCCAAACCCCTGGATCCACATACCATCTGAGAGGGTAATTGGGCACACTGCTTTGAGGCACCAAACCTAGTCAGCCCAGGGTGGTGGCCCGACCTGGTTCGGTACGGCGCCGAACCGGAGTCGTGACACCGTCGAAAAAAACACATCACCTTCCCTAGAGCTCCAGTCGTACCTCAGAAGGTATGACTGGACCCGAACATGGCACCCACCCCAAACATCCCCAGTCCCACCTTCGAAACGAAGGTACGACTGGAGCCCTAAACCTTCGATGTGGAATCCTGCAGCCTGCACCGAGAAAAAACGTACACTGGAGAAAGGGACATGATCCTCAAACATGTACACTCCCGAAAACTAACATAGACCCTGACGTGAAGTTCCCATGGAACACGATTTTCCTCTACCAGCCAAGGGTTTTCAGGTTCCATGTTCTTCCAGGGTGTAACGACTGGGGCCCCATTTTCCTGCGGTTTCAGTTTCGGGTCGACGGCAAACGTTTTTTCTGCTCACACTCACCGTGCTCTCCGTCCGGGTTCCCCACCGATGGACCGTGTCGGTTCGACTCCGAATGGGAGATGACCCTACAAAAATCAGGGTCTGTACCGGTACCCAAGCTTAGGAGTACGAACTCAGGGTCTGAGTCTTCAAAGGGGTCACCAATGGAAGCCCCAGCCCACCACTAAAGGACCTCCAGCCAGGACACCCCTTGAAGGTCCATAGTATGCTCAATGCCATCTCTGAGTATATGGTCCCAAAAGGACTTGTAGCAAACTTTTTGGCACACTTGGAGGTTTTGTGAAATTCAAGTGGATTTCCTGGGGTGGACGCAGCCGACCAATCTCTCTATATACATAGAACCACATCCAAACACTTCTACATGTAAGTCGGAAGAACAACACCGATGGTTCTTCAAAAACTAATTATACTCACTGAAATAATCATGGAAGTGGAAAACCACCTGTTTGTGGAAGAAGTTGTCATCCAAGGAATTATATAGTTTCCATCAAACAACCCTGGCCTCCGACGCTCCGAAATCCTACCATGGTTTCGGCTTTCATCCCTTAAACATATAAGAGGTATCTGTATGACAATCTGTTCAGTTGACCCAAATTCCACCAGGATCCACCAGGGTGTTTGGGGGTTGGACCCACAGCCAACAGATCAGTTTGACCTCATTCTACTGGAGTTGATATACACAAACACTACTCGGTTTTCAGGACCAGGTTTTGCTGGTTCCACTTGAAACTAGGATGGACTTTGACTGAGATGACTGGAGTCAGCCGAGAACCGCGAGAACCAGTTGTTGACTGCGTCATACGATTGATTGACCTGCGCGTCAGACGAGCCACAGTCCAACTCCGTGCAACCCGAGGCGCAAGGAACTCCAAGGACTTGCGCGACCTCGGGTCTGCCCAAACACTCCAGATTGTATGGAATATGGCCCTCAAACCCATGAACAACAAAGGTTTGCACAAACAAACACGATGTTTTTTTTGCTAGGGAGAAAACAAACAAACAGGTTTTTGATGGTTTGTGGGGCCCCTAGTAGGGAATTTATTGTCTACATGTGGTGATTTCAAGGGCCGGGGCGGCATATCTATTCCAGTCCCAAACAGGTCGTGTCCGGCGTCCCAAACTCGCGAGGATCGCTGTTCAGCTCGGACTACGCGGGCGACTCATTGGGGCGTCCTGGGGTGTGGCGCTGGACTCGTCTGGGGTTTGGGTGAGTTCTTTTTTGAAGGAACGTGGAATAGACAAACATATGACGTCTTTTGTTTTCATGTCATTGACACTGGACACCCATGAATCACAGTGAATCAGTTTCATGTTTCTCTCCATTGAGTTTTTGTTATACACAGTTTTATATGTTTACACTTTATACACTGTGAGCATTCTGGAGTCGACTACCTCGTGTGCAATCGGGTACTTCAAGTACTTGTTGTTTGAGTTCCGTGTCATGTCCCAATCTTCCAAAGCACGAACGGTCAGTCCAGGTTCACCCCAAAACAAATCAAATGTATGGAAACATATGGAAACACACATGCAAACATCATACTCTACAACAGCATGGAAACACAAAACAGAATCAAGGAACCATGGAAAACTAACCATTGACACATGGAAAACGCTATGGAAATATTATGGAAATCTATGATGCTTTGAGGGTGCAAAACAAAACATGTAAAATATAAAATCCCTCCATGTAACGTCCGCCTAATTATGCTTAGGAAATCTTAGGAACAATTACAGTAAACTATACAATGTCTCTGCACATGGTTTGTGCCACCCCAAAAAGTGTGCTAGGGGTACATGCGGGCAACCAACACCGACACTCAGAAATATCAAAATTCATCCAACTTTCATGTTCAATATTGTTTCACGTTTCAATCTGAGCAAGGCTGGTTGAGCTCATAGAAATGGGAGGAACAAAACAATCCCGTCTTCCAGCCTTTTGCCTCCAAGTGGCTCCTCAAAGGCTTTGCGCAGCGCGCGATCCTCGTCGCCTGATAAGACGAGCCCGTCCGACTGGCACTTCTTGTTCCGCCGTGCGGCGGGGACAACAGCAGCTTATGCCCATCAGGATCCCCATGGCTACATGAGAGGGTGATTGGCTACTACTTTTATGTGTCTGGGCAATGTGTTTCAGAGGATCTGGGGATTCTGTAGGGAACAGCTTCCAATTGAGACAACCTCCTGGCAATGGATTCCAAGTTATTCAGTGCATCCAGGCGTCAAATGTATTGATCATTGCCTATAGCCAATTAGCCAATTGTCCACTCGTCAACCGTTGACCCTTCTCGTTGAGATGTATTTCTATCCGGACTCGTCGACCCGTCTTCGTTCGTGCGAAAACGAACATGGGACATGTCCGAACCGATACGACAGGTACGACCCCGGTGCATGCATGTTCGAAAAACTCACAGGTCGAAAAATGGATTTTGACCGGGGTATACCAAAACCCTACCTAGCCTTCCAAGACCTCTGAAGGAAAGGTTTGACCTGTTGTCGTAGCGTAAATTCCTTATTAGTAAACAATGGTTCTTCGGAAAAAAAACATGTACAATCCGGCTGCTTCGTGTCACACGCTTCGCATCCCTCACTGCTCCACCGACGGAGACCAATAGGTCTGGACATCACCCCCTTTGACCGAACGACTGGACCCGACGGTCGGTACGACCAGTCATACCCGACGTTTGGGCACCGGCCCATGACGGGGGTCGTACATGGTCTCACCTTCTCAAGAACGATTGGGCTACGAGCTCCCAACACAGAGCCAACTGAGACGTCCTGACGTCCTGACGTCGTGTCTGGATATTGGTGGATGGTTTTGGATTCGTCGTTCGCGGCTGCCGGGGTCAGGGTGGGACGAAGCACAAACACACGACACTCAAAACCAGGCCTTGGCCGTGGAGATATCAAAGTCAATGCAAGTTGCAGCCAAAGTCTACAATGCCTTGAGTATATCCCATCACCAGTAACCTTGAACGATGGTTGGATATATGTGGGCGACCAAGTCGGGTGCAGGCCGACATCTCAAAAATCTGACAATCCTGGATGAAAAAGGAATCATTTGAAAGTCAATATCTGGACACAACTTCAAGTACCGAAACGGAACATGGCCCGGTGCAAACAGGTCAACCTCCGCCCAAAACGGTCGACTCCAAGTATCACCCCCTGGTCATTTGTGCACCACGTATCCAAATACGATCACTTGTCATTTAAATTGGCCAAACACAGATCCGTCCCAAAACTGCCCAAGTAGATTTAAATTGCCCACGTTATAGTCAAATCAAATCACGTGAACACGCGACATTCGTTTTTTTGTTGAACCGCGCCTGATTGGGCTCCTGAAATCGCCGACTCCAAGGACCGATTCTCGGCCAAGCCTGACAATGGGCGTTCGTCACCCATCAGGCGAAAAAGTGAGGTTCGAAAAAGGACCGACCAAGGCTCTGGGGTGAGGTGTTGATAATTTTGCAGATACTACATGATTGATATTTAACGGAAGACCAGGCCTATTAAGAACCTCAATCATAATATTGTTTGAAAAAGACAGTACCCGGGTGTGTGTTTCAAAAGCCTGAACATTGGACTAGTGTTTCAAAAGCCTGAACATTGGACTCTTTGAACCATATTGAACTAAAAGGGTGCTGAAGTGAGGTCACTTTGTTCCTGAGTGAGTGCGTTCAAAATGAAGAAACTAAAGATGTATTCGTCATTCTGATCATCTTCAAGTTGAACGATTCTGGAGAAAACTGTAAGAACTTTATCCCAAAAATGGTTGCAAAATCCATGCAAGGTGTCCAATCGACACCTAGTCTAGCACATGACCCCACCTTTGCGATGGTCAAACCGCTCACCTATTTTTTGGCAGGGCCAACTCTGCGAATTGATGCATGCCATCACTCACCCAGCACCTTCCAACAGGTCTCCGAAATGTAGTTTTTGCAAACTATAAAAATCATAAAAAAACGCAGGTGGTGACCTGGCACTTTCTGGGTCCTGGTCCTTTTTTATCCTTTTCTATACTCTGAGACCAAAAAAAATATCGAGAGTAGATGGCACAATCACAAAGAGGTGGTGTATTCGGACCCCCAAGAGGTGGTTTGCACATCTACTCTGAGGTCTGAGACCATGAAATAGAACTCTGACACAGTCGGCTTGGACGGGCAGCTCCCACCCGCTCTTCGGATGGGCGAATCGCCATCGGGCATGTGGCGAATGAATCGCCGTCGGAAGTTCCCTGCCTCGCCACCCGGACTCGCTGTCGCTGGACTCGCCGTCACTGATGATGTAGACTCAGCGTGCGCGTGTTATGTGGAGCTTGGCCGTTCTTTGTGAATCCACTTCATGATGCAGAATGGTTGTTTCAACTTTCCTTGTTGGGCACGCGGCAAAAACAAACGTTCCTGTGTACACAATGACGGAGTGCCACAGGAAAAAATGGTTTCACGTGTGGTGACGTTCCCGAAAAGTGCACTCGCATCTTTTCCGCTCTTTTTTGCGGCAGATCCACTGGTAATTTCTATTCCACAGCCTGGCATGCTTGGTTCTTTGACTTTGGCATGCTTCGCCCAATGACTCTTCACGCGCCTGACGTGTTTTACAGTCATGCCAGCCTGAGCGGACTATCCCTGCACAACTTCCTTGTGTCGGCCGAGCACCAGCTGCAACAAGTTTCAATATCAGCAGGGGCCACAATCACACCCACAGCCACCAAAACATAGAATCTCCCACCAACCTCTTGTTTGCGCCCAAGTGTGGGGCATCATGCCACCCGGCCGAAGGAGGCAGGTGGAGTCAGCAGTGACGCCTTCCCCCGCTCCATGCGGCTGCGGTGTCCACGATGTACTGTGGCGCACTCCGTGAACGAACGTCACTTGCCCCCCCTTCCGACCCCCCCCACATGTAAATGAACATCAACATGTTGGTCAACAAACACGAAGTCGAGGTTTTATCCTCCCCTTTTTCAGCCAAGGGGCCATTGGAAGGGCGATCGACCTTGTCCCTGAGATCCTGAGCCGACAGGGCCGGACCCTCCTGGGCCTATCGGATGGGTTCGCAACCGGACCAAATAATCCGAACAAGACATGCAGAGTGGATGTATAGGACCAATGTCAAATAGAGAAATGAAAAACAACTCACATGAACCCGATCCGCAAAATAAAAAGGGAGAGGTCTGGCGCATCTGCGCATTCTGACTCACTATAGGTATCTGAACAAGTCGTCAGGCGAAGACGGGACGTGTCATCTTTGGCCAAAAGACTAAACATATCTGACAAGGACGGAAATCGACCTCTGCAGAAATCAATTCTGGCTATTACCCGGATGACGACTCTCAGATCAAACCACTTGTTCTGTGCTCTTCTGAACCCCGTCGGGCCGAAAACGTCAAATCCGCATATCGTGCGCAAGCGAGGAAGGTCTTGAAAGGCAAAATCGCAATTTTGCAGCCAAGGCTATGCTGAAAAGCGATCTACTTTTCACCAAGAGTGTGGTCACACTACGGGTTCTTACAGTATAGTAGTTAATAAGGGCTGGTGTTAAATCGAGGTGTTGCACCGCTAATTCGTTGTTATTTACAGTATATTGAAATCCTCGAAGTGCATTTGAACTGCGCAGGCTCACAAAATTGGTGGCCCCAACGGGCGCTTGTCGCGACTGCGCTCTCGTTGTGGTGACGCGCGCATTTTCGGACATGGTGGTGACTTTCGCGGCATGCAGGCGCAAGGGAAACCTTGCGTTAAGTCGACTTTTCGTGACAGGCGCAAGGGATCGGAGCGGTTTTACTTCGGTGTGTAGATATCGTGGCAGGCGCAGCACTTTGTGAATCTTGAAGTGCGGATTGCGTGGCAGGCGCATATTTTGCAGCGCAAGGCTGTGAAAAGCTCTCAAAGAACAATAGCAGCACCACAACCACCCGAAAAAATCACAAACATGTTTTGAAAGGCAAAGTCATGGTTTTGCAAAATTAGGAACTGAAATGACGGGCCGGGTTTTAGGTGACATGCGTGTACGGGCTTCACAGAGAAAAGCAAAGTCACAGTTTTGCAGCGCAAGGCTGTGAAAAATACTTTCAAAGAACACAAGCAGCACCAGCCGACCATTGATCATAATCAAATCCAAACTAAAATGAAAACACAAGTGCACAGGAGTCAACAAACAGAAAACTGAACAGTTGACATTTGCATTCAACACACATGTAATCAAGTAGTTTGCACTTCCTGGGGTTTCCGGGATTTTTCTTTTTCACTTTCAGCCTATCTCTACTCCGAATCAAATCCACACATGACTGACTGACTTGCTGAACCGCACAATGGCCTCCTTGTCCGGGGCAGTAAAAAAGATGCCACTCACATCGCCACTCAGTGGCCGGCAGATCCGGTTCAGCGGGATGAGGTTCATGATGAGTCTATGTACGGCCACCCCATCGGCGATCTCATCTTTTGGGACCCCGAAGAGCCCATTCAACAGCGGCCTGCCTTTTACCTTGTATATGTCTTCTTCTCGAATCAAGCCGCAGATGCCTTTGGCCAGGAGCCCTCTGCAAAGAGGCTCCCATTCACCATCGGCAACCATCACTCTCGGTGGTCGACTGTAGACTTGTTCAGCCTCCGGCAGCAAGTACTCTTCAAAGTTGCAGACGTAGTGGAGTGAACCCTTCTTCACTACGCTTTCGAGAGGAACCCTCGCTACCTCATCTGGCAATGCACTCAAGGGAAGTACTGATGCGCAAACGGAAAAGCAGCCAGGCCTTATGGAAGCCGAAAGTCTCTGTGGGTGATTGCTGAATATGCATGGGAACGATGGATTGGGAATCCATACTCCGTAGGGTCCACGAGGGTTGAGTGGATGACATAGTCTCCAAGCAACTGCTCTTCATGGGCCAAAGACCATTTGAAGAGCTTGGTGCACTCATGGATGAAGATTTTGGGCTTCCGTCTGCGGACTAAAGCGCAAAGGATGCAAAAGGCAAGCGCAGATGGCCCGAGAAAGCCTTTCTGTGTTCCCATGCTGCTCCGACCAGCCGAAGCAGCCAAAAAGAGGTGTTGAAAGGCAAGCTCGCTGTTTTGCAGCCCAAGCCTGTCAAACAGCTTTTCAAACAACAAGAGCAGCACCACGGCCAGCCGAAGCTGTGATTTGCCTGCATCGGCAGGCCGGACTTCAGTTGTAGTAGTGGTGGTAGTGGTAGTGGTAGTGGTGGTAGTGATAGTGGTGGTGGTGGTGGTGGTGGTGGTAGTAGTACTAGTAGTAGTCGTCGTAGTAGTCGTAGTCGTAGTAGTCGTAGTCGTAGTACCCTGAAGATCCTGTAAGCTTTAGAAAGTGGCTGGTAGCTGAGTTTTGTGGCTTCTGAACATGTTGGAAGTTAGGTTTGAGAAACAAGGGTTCTTGCCTAGCAGATCAAAAACCTAGCTTCTTTGAAGGTTCTTGATGCTCTAGCAGCTTTGAAAACTAGCTTCCAGCTTTTTGCATGCAAAAAAGCAAGAAGCACTGCTTTGAAGGTCAAAGAAGCACTTCTCAGAAGCACTTCTTGGATTCCAAGAAGCTCTTCTTGGATATACTGTATGTACAATATGCTAAAGCCAGCAAAGCAAGCAAAGCACAGCTTTCTTCATTCCATTGCCATGGCAGCAGTTTTGCCTGTGGAGCCTGAGCAAGGCACTTACCAGAAAGAGATTGCTATTGTGAGGGCACACCTGGAGACTTGTGACCCCCAAAGCTGGAGTGCTGACCCTGAGCAAGCCTGTGTAAGGCACAGAATCTTTTTAAGTGTCTTCCTGAAAAGAGATTTGAAAAAGACTCAGGTGAAAGAAATATTTTTTGGAGCCTGCAAAAGGCTGCAGCAAAGCGAGGCCAAAATGATTGCAAACTGTATCCATGAAGTGAAGAAATGGCTGGTCAAAAAATGGAAAAATTTGAAGACTGGAGAGAAGACACATCCAGGAGTTCTTGCCCTTATGCATGCAATTTTTGGAGATGCTGCAGAGGGCAAGGCGAATGACAAGCCTGTGCAAGGCATCAAGAGGAGACTGACTTCCAAATCTCCACCAGCCAAAAAGAGCACACCCATAAAGATTGCAAGGGATGCTGGTGTCTTGGACATCAGCAGTGAATCTGGTGAGAGCCTGCAGAGCCTGGGCAAGGCATCAAGCATTCCTAGTCTGATAGCAGGTGTCCCTTTACAAAATGCAGTTGTGCTGAGGAAGCCAGCAGGCTCACCCATGAAGAAGCCTGCAGCAGGGAACAAAAAACCTGCAGCTTCACCCAAAGCCTGTGCAAGGCAAACACGCATTGCAGAGCCTGTTAGGGCCTGTGCAAGGCCAGCTGTGCAAATGGCTGAGCATGGGGCCTGGAAAGCTTCTGTGAATTTTTCTTGGGTGAAAGCAACCTTTGCAGCCAAAAAGGCATACATTGTCGCAAGAGACAACCACCAAAGCAAGCCACAATGCCTGGTCAATTTGAACATGGAAAAGGGCCCAGAGCAAAGCCGACTGATGCAGATACTTCTGGACAAAGCACAGCACCAGCAGGGCCTGAGCAAGGCAGAACTTGTGCAGATCAAGAATAATTTGCTCAAGTGTGCCATAGATGTGGATTAGAGACAACATATTCCAGCCTGCACAAGGCATGATACAGCCAAACCAACAAGGCATGATACAGCCAAGCCAGTGCATTTCAAGCCTGCGCAAGGCAAAGCAATAGGTGTTTTGTTTTGCATATTTTCATTTTCACCCAACAGCCTGAAACAGGCTACAGTTCTTTGATTAAAAAAGACTAGGGTGAGTTGGTTAGGTCAAGGGTTCACCTCAGTTGGTTAGGTCCACACACAAACACAGAGGTTAATCTGTTGCTGTTGGCTCAAAAGCTAGGGGTGCAACTGTTTCTTTGGATCTAGATTTGCATTCCCCAGCACACCAACCAACACTCCACCACACACACACACACCAACTCACAGCCAAGCATTCTCCAACACACAGCCAAATACAAACTACACAAACTACACAAGTCACAATAAGGATGCACAACTTTAAGTCACACAAGGGCACCTAGCTAAGGCACATAATTAAGTCATGCTTTCACAACTTCCCACAAACTTCATACAATTTCACAATTTCACAGCATAGCTCCATATACAACCGCAACTTCAGCACACATCATATACCACTTCACAAACTATAGACACTACAGTGCAGACCGCCACCTCTTTAGGTGGATCTGGAGCCATGGCCACAGGGTTGCTGTGGGTGAGCCTGTGTAAGGCTTTGCTGGTGGCATGTTTGATGCCACCTGCCACCTGCTGGAGCCTGAATAAGGCTTTGCTCTCAATGGCCTTCCTTGAGCCTGCACAAGGCGGTTTGAAGTGGTGGAGGGTGAGGGAGTACAAGGGCAAAAGGTACTACCTCTCCTTGAAAGGGAAATGGTTTCCTCTGGATGAAGAGGATGAGGAGAGCCTGGATAAGGCAATCCAAGATGATTGGACTCTGGGTGCCTACATAGCTGGTGAGTCAGCTGTGTGTGCTTGGGAGGATGAGTGGGAGGTAGATGAAGCGCCTCCCTACTGGCACCCAGAGAACAGGAGGTGGGTCAGGGCCTTCCCAAACATGGAGGGCTATGGGTGGGAGCAGGCCACAGAACTCCCAGAGCCTGAGCAAGGCATGCAGGACACTTGGTGGTCAGCTGGGCCTGAGCAAGGCCAATCCTCTTCATCTGCATCAGGCAGTTGGTCATCTTGCAGGCCAGAGCCTGGGCAAGGCTGGTGGGAGCCTGCGCAAGGCTGGCAAAGAGGTTGGGCTGCCTCTTGGTGGGATGGTGGGAAGCAGAGTTGGTACAGAGAGCAATGGTATGCTCCTCCAACTCCACAATCTCACACCCCCACTGAGCCAGCAAGCCCCAACACTGAGCCTGAACAAGGCAGTCCAGATGATGTGCCCCTCACACCTGATAGATGGTGCATGAGGGGCAAGCAAGCTGATGCAAACAGGCTTGCAAGAAGGAAGCTCCAAAGGGAGGGCAAGCCAGTGCCACCTGAGCTGATGCCA